ACAGTTTTACAATATATGAACATTTATAATTCAAAAACAATTTACCATATAAAAACAATTTACAATACCCTTCTTTCGAGCAAATACACGAGCATATAGTGAGCCCTGATACCAAAAAATGGACAAAAATCTTGTTCCTAAACGCAGTACCCGAACTGGATGACCGAGATGGCTAAGAGAGTGCACCGACTCGCGCGCGTTGGACATCGCTGTCCCCGTCTCACGGCGCGGAGGCGTCGCGTTCTGCTGCGGAAGTAAATTATCTATAGGAGCAACATTTATCTACTTCTTAGTTTTCCGAGTAAAATTCGCTGTTTTCCGGCGCAGGATTACAATATTTTCTCTTCCTACAATACTTACAATTGCGGTAGAGTGAGACAGTAAAAAACTTTATCAATGTTGTAGTTTCGCCGCATTAATTTTTTGTTTGCAACTTTCAAAAATGCAGGCAGCTCGCCGAATATGGTACCTTCGTCATTTTTAAGCTTCATTTGCTCTATGCAAGGAAAAGAAGAGAGAAAATTTTAGCAGGTTTTTGAGAAATCTTTTTTGCATTAAATTTCAGCACAGGCCGAAGAAGTTCAATGTACATTTCCGCGTCCAATGCACTTCCCTGCGGCGGCCGTTCGCAGCTTCGAGCTCCTAAATGCTGTTTCTGATTCGAACAAACGATATGGATCTCTACACTATTATTTTGAAAGAAAGAAAATAAAAACAAGGGAGGAACTTTTACGCAACTGTTTTTATGTGAGTTTTTCATCCACGAACAAAACCTAAAAAACAGAGCACAAAACATCGATGTTTAGAATACGTCGGCTTTAATATATCGATGTTTAAAACATTGATATTTTTATAGAAACATCCATGTTTTTAAATCATTGTCATCCATGTCGCATCCCTACCTGACATCACTGCATCGAACCCCACCCCAAGTCACGACGCAGAGCTGTAAGCTGCTGAACACTGCCTCCCAGTAATCATTGGGGTGCACAGCCCAAAACATGAGGGGGCAACTATTTCTGAGTCCCTTTGCCATTTAACTTCTTTTATCCATACACCATTTTACTAGTAAATGAATAAAGAATATAAGGAGATTGAAATTACAATTTTAATATTACATTTGTCCATATTATTGTACATATTACAAATGTGTATATTTGTACATATTACAAATGTCCACAAGGAATTAAAGCTAGAAACGAGCTAACCCCAATGCAGCTATTTGAATTGAAAGATCTTAGTGCAGAATCAAGCTAAAAAGCAGCCATGAATCAAATCCAAACGTGTCATTAAACTCATTAAGGGGGTTCCGCGGATCAAAAACGGGGAGGGGGAGGGAAATGAGAAAAGGCAGAACAAGCAACTCTGGCACAAATACAAAAATTATGTCGCTCTCCTTCCAAAGTTTGACCAATTAATGATAGAAGCCAAGACTGTGCAACTAGATGAAACAGTCATTTCTGAAGCATGGCTCCCTGACGGATTTCGATGACGTAAAACGTCGCCAGAAATGTTCAATAAAAAGCAGTCAAAATGTTTTTAAAATGCTCTAAAGGCAACGAAAAATGACGGAAAAATGTTTTCAAAACCAGCTCGGATGAACAACTCAAACTGTTGGGGCAGGTTTCACCAGGAAAGCACTGCCCTTAGTTATCCCAAAATAGGCCGAATTGACAATAGGGCTGACAGGCGTTACATTTTATACTCAAACTTGACATTACAATTTCTGAAATAGGCAACTCACCAATTGTGTGGCGAACATTTGTTGCGTCACTTACATATTATTTGAAGCACATAACATGAAAACTACATAAAAATAGATAAAATAAGCGATAAGGCATTAAAAATTTCTGAAGGAGGTAAAAAATTGACTTATTAGTCGAAATCGACAAGAAACGCAAAAAACCGCGTTGTTATAAAGTGAAAAAAAAAGTATTTCATTACCATCCGTTCGCTATTGATGACCATTCCTTACTTTGCTTAGCACTGAAAAAAAAAGACGGTGACATCGTTAGGAAGTACCAAGATGTGAGGCAGCGGCATAGTGTGGGCGTCGGCCGCCCGGGACGGAGGAAACATTCGCCGCCCCCTTGCCTGGGTATTTCAATTTAAATGACTGAAGTATACAGCCATTCTAAAGAATGTTTTGACAATTGTCATCTTTATTGTGTATTGTAAAAGTTACAAAAAAAGTCGTAGGTATACGTTTAACAATATAATCACTATACATTAATTTAAAGAAGTCACAGAATAAGTAATGAAAGATTCCGCTCTCTGAATCTTATATAATACGCCATGGGTTGCATATGTTGATACGCGGAAGTAGTCATAACATGGAACAAAGTGAAATAATCATGAGTTTTAAAACCTTTTCAGCCATTTGCTAACCGAATTTAACCGAATCTATACCAAATGATTTCAGTTGAGAACCAGCACTTTTTTGCTTCAAATAACGAAGTGATTTGCATCTCCCATACATTATTATTGCAGGTACTAACAATGGATTCTACATTTCGCCACAATTAAAAGGGCATCTCCTGCATACTCGTAGTTAAAAGATCTGTAGTACTCCTGAGGCATGACTCAACGAATGCTGAAGTCTGAAACCACTTCTATCAATATTTGCTACTAGTCGCAATCCAGGAAGAGACCAAATTACTATTTACGATTCCCGGTAGTATTGACCAATTTCCGAAAATTGACTACGACTATAGAATTTTCTTTCTCGCAATGATAAACGTTACCCACTTCAAATTATACTACACCTTTTTAACTTTTTTAACAAATGGGTGCGTTAGCACAACGCACACTATTGCCGTTTCTTCATTAGTAAGTCTTCCAAGGAAACCGGCGCAAGACGCCGCTCCTGCCTCGTTTCCCGGATTCCAAGCGCCTCTGGCCTGGCCCCGGCCGCCTACGCGACTCCTCACGAAAGCCACAGCGCGTGCTAGTTCCCCGGACCGCTCGGCCACTTCAACTGTGGGAAGACTTGGCCCGAGCACAATACTACTGTTACAAGCCTCAGGGTCGCAGGACTGCGAACGCATACACAATGAATACTACTCTCCGGAAAAAACTAGTATTTTATTCTCTCCATTTTACGTACCTTCAGTTTTGATGGTTATCCCAATGCGCATAAATAGCAAAATACTTTGACATGCTACATAAATATTCCTTGCAAATATTTTGACGTGCCACCCTCTTACGATGCGAACAATTTTCGACAGAGTTTAATGACATGCAATATGTTGGTGCAATAAATAACACAAAACAAAACAGCAAGCACATTTCATCATTATTAAAATAATAACTTCCAAGGCATCGAACAAAAAAACAAAACAAAAACATGCCGATAACTACACGTGTTACACTTGTTCGGTGCATCTCAATACTTTCCAAACATGAGTCACGTGTGTGCAAACATCAAAACATTGAATCTTCTCTCTACTATCGGTCATTTGCCACCGAAACATTGTGCATTAAAAAAAGCAACTAACTGAACACCTAAATGTAACTGATTATTTTAATCTATCAGAAATATAGTACTCATCAAAATTCATGAAACGGGAAGATGAAAATATTTTTCTAACACAGGTAAGAAAAACTTGATTATTTACTTCCCAAATACGCACAAACTTAACCAAAATACGTAAAATAAATAGTAACACACTTGTCACCTATAAATATATAGGTTTGTGACGAATTTCGTTAGTTACTTTTTTTTAAAGTTGGTTAAGGACGTGAACGCCAATTAATTAGTCAACATATTTGCAATGTGTAACAATTAGTCATAAAAAAAAAACTACGATCGTCATAAACACTTCCCGGCGAAAAATACTTTCAGTCAACTCACCACGAATTGTATGCACTATGAACGACACCAACAGGTTTTTGCCATAACACGAATATGAAATGTATACATGAGAATATGAATAGGTTTCGAACACAATGAATACATTAACGAGAAACAGGTAGCACTAGCACACACATCCAAACGATCTCTCATTGCAACATGTTTGTAAGTCTAAATAAAAGTGTGAGACAAATCTAATGCAGTTCTCACAGAACCATTCCCAATGCCATTAACAGTTTAAAGGCGCACAAACATAAGAAATTACTTACGCACAATCACAACAAATTCATTAGAAGAGTAAACATTCACAAGTCTTACAAAGGATTGTCAGGTTACACTTATGCCACTTTGTTCAGGTTCTATTAGCGAGATTAGAATGCACACTGACAACACATATCAATTTCAACACAGAAACTCACTTACCGTTGTAAACTGCTCTTGTAATTCTGCTCTTTCATCGGTGCTGAATCTGCCGACATCGCCAAGCAAAGTTGACGCCATGTTTTTCTCGACTGCCGCCCGCGACCGTACTCTGACAGTGCATTCAGCTGAATGCGCCCCCTAAGACTCTCTGAATCAGATGGCATCGATGTAGATATACAGCGCTCGCGTGGCAGAGTTGTCAACTACTTGTGTTTACGGTAGAGCCGGCAGGTGGAGGTATGTACGTGTTTTCAGCTGGGATCTAAACTATATACAAGGGTTAAAAATTAGTGCGTAGAGCTCACTGGTATTCAGGTAATGAATATATTTATTAAATGCAAGAAATGTCCTGTGAAACAACACATTAATGAATATTTGTCCGATTAAAAAATGTTCCTGTGTGTGAAAGTGAAATTATGTGACAAAAATAATTTTAAACGATAACCGACTTGAGGATTTTAACCGATAAATCCGGGTTCGATTCTCTGCTCGAGAAGCCAATTCTTAGTCAAATAGTCAAATTTATAAACATATTGGTGGTGAAACTCAATTTAGAAATTACATCCAACAATCTTAAACAATATGTGATTTGGCAAGATATAATTTTGTATTAGCATAATAATTATAATTATACGTGATTAACATTATGCAACCAATCACTCTTTTATGTAGTACTATTTATTTGAGTATCCTGACAGTTTGCTCACGAAAAACTTCAGCTAATGATTAAGTAGCACTATTTTCGCCATTTATTGAGTAATACTATTTAGAATGTTTGGGCCACTTCTGCATTCTAAGAACTATGAACAAACACTAAAAAGGTTCTGCGGTTCCAAGGTAAGAGTTCATAAGTTAGGGGTCCCAGACGTCCCGGTTTTAGCTGGACAGTTCCGATTTTCAAAGGTTGTCTTCCTTCTGTCCCGATAAATAAATTTCGGGACGGCAAATGATCGGATTTTCGCTGCTACCGCTGAATCTGAATGAATAACGCAGAAGTCTGTGTCCTCTAGCCCCATGGAGAGCATCGTTCTAGGATACGGTCACTAAGGGAAGGGC